TCATTTTTGGCTCCGACAAAGTTGCTTCCTTGATCGCATCTAATCTCACTGACTGCTCCTCTTATGGCTATAAAACAGCGGAGCGCATTGATAAAGGCGTCTGTAGTCATGTTGTCCAACATTTCTATGTGCACTGCTCTGCAGCAAAGGCATGTAAAAAGAAGTCCATAACGCTTGTGCTCTTTGCGAGCTTGTTTGGTTAGAAAAGGACCAAAACAGTCCATTCCACAGAATGTAAAGGGTGGAGATGGATCTAAGCGCTGCGTTGGGAGATCAGACATCTTTTGTTCCTCTGTGCCTCTTCTGAGTCTGCGACACTTCACACAGTGGTGTATAAAATTTGCTACGGCCTTGTTGATGCCTGGAATCCAAAATCCATTCACTCTGATCTCATTGATTGTAAAACCTTTCCCTTGGTGCTGCACCTTACTGTGGAAATGATCTATTATTAGTTGAGTGACATGGTGACCTTTTGGAACTATCACTGGGTGTTTCAGTATGGAGGAGAATGAAGCATCTTTAAGTCTTCCTCCCACCTTAAGGAGTCCATCAGTATCAAGAAAAGTGTCCATTTGAAACAGTTTACTTTTGTGTGGAAGTGGTTTCCCGTTCTTTAGCAACCTTATCTCCTCTGCATATTCACTTGCTTGTGTGTCTCTTAGAATAACACATTGTGCATTTTGTCTTTCTTGTACTGTACTGTGGCCTGTTGTTTTGTCTCCCTTGGCACAGCGAATGAGTCGAGCTATGGCTTGGGTGGCTTTGTACCATGAGGAAAACTTTGTTAACTTGTCTGATAAACCTTTTTTCTCTGTTTTGAGCGTGTTCAGTGCCTGTACCTTCTTAACCTCTGGGTCTCCAAGTGGTATGTTCATGTCGATGTCTGCAGGTGGAGGTATTTCCTTTTCCCATAGAAGCTGTGGCATTTCATAATGTCCTTCAGTGTTTTTGTAAATGCCTTCCTTTAACATGTTGAGAAAGAGAATGTCATCTTGAGACACTGACTTGTTATCCTTGTCGTTATCCTTAAAGTCAGACTCAAGGACCTTGATTACATCAGCTGGAGTCACTAGGGGAAGCTCTTTAACTGCAACTCTGTGACACACAGTAGACATGCTAGAAGAGTCACCATAAGATGATGTCGGGCCTACAATACTCCAGCCCAATGCTGTGCGAACTGCATAGGGTTCGTTCTCGCCTCCTAAGATTACCTGCTTTGGAGCTAATGCCTTAGAGCAACTGTAGCCAATTAAAAGGCCGACTTCACATTCTAGCTGTGGAGGAATCTCGTTCCTTATTTCCTTGAGATGATTCCACCGCCTTGCCGTTTCACAGGTAGGAATGTGAGAGCGGCTAACTGGTATACATTCTTTAGTGTAAGCGGGAGGGAGTTCAATCATTTCTGAGGAGTTATAGCCTCTTACCTTGAGACCTGAGATGCGTTCGCTTGGCACAACAACATCCTTACCAAGCAGTGTAGTGAGCTTCAACCTTATTGGGGTAGCCTTAGCTTGGAGGTTATTAGACACATCTTGGTCAATGAACACGGTGTCACTTTGCGTGTCTAGGAGGGCATAAACAAGCCTTTCTGTATCTGGATGTTGCTCTGAAGAAACCCATACTGGTAGAATCATGGAGGTGCTCACGCACTGTTCACTGGCTTCTGCATTCAGAGACAGGGTGGTTGCAGCCTGTTCTGTGCTGATCTGAGTTTGTGGCTGGTTTGAGGCTGATTTATCATTGTTATAGTTGAAGTCGTGCAGACAGGTAGGATGTTTTTTCTTACACACTTCACATACAAGTCTGTAATTACAGTTCTTTGCGCTGTGTCCGGGTTTAAGACAACCATAACAGAGTTTTTTCTCCTTTATATATTTCCTTCGTTCCTCAAGCAATATTCCATTGAACTGTGGACAACTGTGAAGTTTATGTCCGTTGTTTTGACAGAACATGCATGGGGCCTTAACATTTGGACCTTTATTTTCAGTCTCAGTTATCGCCTGGGTATGGAGAACACTAGAGGTGGGCCTTTTGTCTTTTTGGCAGCCCTTACCAGTGTCTGTGGTGAAGTTTACAGAGTGGAGAGCCTGAAATGATGTAATCGGGTTGCACATGATCTCTGCTTCAGAAGACATGAACTTGGCAAAGTCCTTTAAACCTGGAAACTTCCCACTTTCTTTCATAAACTGAGTGGCCTGACGATTCCAACTTGCAGCCGCCCAGTTTGGTAACTTTTGAACGAGTTTTTGGTTCTCCTCACAATCGTTGAGAATGCTTAAGCCTTCAATGTGGGGCATGGCCTCGTGACATGTTTGAATGAAATCAGCAAATGCCCTGAATCCTGTGGAGTCATTTGTTTGGATCTTTGGCCATTTTGCCAGTCTTTCTCTGAAAGCCCTCTGTACCACAAATGGATGTCCATACCTGTGGTTGAGACGCTCCCATGCATCTCTGTATGCTTCACTGTCGTTTCTATAGAAGATGCCATCAAGCGTTTGTCGAACTGGACCTCCTGTGTATTTCTTTAAGTAGTGCAGTTTGTCAGCAGTTGAGATGTTCCTTTTATCAATGAGAGCAGTAAAGGAAGCTTTCCACTCTATGAATTGTATTGGGTCACCTGTGAACGTGGAGGGCTCTGGCACTGGCAGTCTGTTCAATGCAACACTATCCAGTACTGCTTGTGCTAAGTAGAGGACATCTGTTTGTGGAAGTGAGGCAGACACTACATTGTTGTCAGGGACTTTACTGAGATTAGAAACTGTGGGGGCTTTCTGAGCAGTGTTTCTATAGTCAACATCAGAGGCACTGATTTCACTCTTTATCTCAGTGTCATAGGTCCTTAGTCTAGCTCGTGCAGCCTTTAACTCCTTTTCAGCCTTCAGTTTCTCTAGCTCACGCCTTTGAGATTCGAGCTCCTTTCTTTGCCTTTCTTCTAAAAGCTGAATCTTTTCCTTTTGTTTTTCCTCCTCTAATAACATCTCATACTCTGCTTCTTTGGCTGCTAACTCTGCTGCAGCCTCTGCTCTTTTAACAGCTACTACTGACATTGCAGAGTATGACTTACTGGCAGAAGAGTTTTTACTTGAGTGCGTGACTGAGGAACTGTAAATGGACTGAGCATAGTCTGGCTCAAGAAGCTCACGGAGACGTATCTTTACCTTGTCCCTATCATAGTCATCTATGCCTGAGAGTCTTTCATGAGCAATCTTGATAATGTCTCTGGTGACTGCTTCACATGCGTCTATGAGTCGCCTTGTGCCACTCGAGGGAGTAATGTTTTCTCTAATTTCCATATACAACTTTATGACATTCTCCTTTTCATTCTCTAACATGTCCATGAGTGAAGCAGTTTGATTGTTTGTTAAGTCTCCTTTTAATTGCTCTCGTGTTTTACGTACTTGTTTTTTCCATTCATCATAAACTTTGAGAAGCCGTTTTTCTTTCTTGTGGGCCTCCTCCTCCTTATACGCTTGCATTTTTTCAGTAGGCCTCCTTCGACGAACAGAGTGTGGAGGCTCCTCTTCCTCATTGGCCTTGGGATCCTCCGCAAACTCTGTCTCTTCTTCAGATGCTTCCATGCTGAGGACGGGGCAATTTAGTTGACCATCAGATCCCAGAAGACTTTGTGTGGAGCTGTGGAACTGGGACCTCGATGCTGAGCGTGGGATGGAGCTCTTCTCAGCTGGGGTCAAGCTCTTACTGTAGCATCCCCGGTTGAAAAGATGGTCTCTCAAACTGATGGTTCACAATCCTTTTATTAAACAGCCGTGTATGTGAACACACCGTAAGAGCTACAACATACAGAATAAAAGACTATTAGTAAATCAAACAGTGTGTTACCTTTAACCTTTTGACTTATTCA